TTTAAGACAGTCATATCTTGTGAATCTCACATCTCTGTACCCAAACCAAAGACCCGCAGAGCATTGCTGCCTTCAAATCAAGCGCCGTACTTGCCCTGGGCCTTTTTACACCCTCCTCTCTCCCCGTGAAATGCTGCGTGTCAGTCTGGTTATCCTGACAGCAGCAGAGGGACCCAACACCTGACTTGTAAGAGTTCCTTTTTTACCTTCCTTCACTTTTTTCTGTCCTCAGAACCCCTACTGCCATTTTGTCAACCTGCTATAATTTAAGCTCCTTCCAGCAGTTTTCTGATTCCACCTACTATTACTTTACTTGCAAATCTATTTCCTATACAAATAGCAAGCTCCATTTTTATTATTTTAGGGTTTTTTTTCCCCATTTCATTGTCCTGATTCTTTTTTCTTTTTTGAAGCATAGTTGATTTATATTATATTAGGTTCAGGTGTACAACGTAGTAGTTTTATAGATTATACTTTATGTAAAGTTATTATAAAATAGTGGCTGTCTTTCCCTGTGTTGTACAATATATCCTTGTTGCTTATTTATTTTTACCTAGTAGTTTGTATTTCTTAATCCTCTACATCTCTCTCTCCGCTTCCCCGCTTCCCTCTCCCCACTGGTAACCACTGGTCTGTTCTCTGTACCTGTGAGTCTGTTTCTGTTGTTATATACATTCCTTTGTTTTACTTTTTAGATTCCACATAGAAGTGGTAACAGAGTATTTGTCTCTCTCTTTCTGACTTATTTCACTAAGTGGAACACTCTCTAGGTCCATCCACGCTGTTGCAAAGGGCAGAATATCATTCTTTTTATGGCAGAGTAAATAGTCCATTGTGATGTGTGTTGTGTGTGTATCTCACACCTTCTTTATCCATCTGTTGATGGGCACTTAGGCTGCTTCCATGTCTCGGCTATTGTAAATAGAGCTGCTGTGAGCACTGAGGTTGCGTGTATCTTTTTCAACTAGTGTTTTCATTTTCTTTGGATATAGACAGTAGTGGAATTGATGGATCATATGGTAGTTCTATTTTTAGTTTTGGGGGGTTATTATTTTAGTTTTCTGCGAGGTTTTTAACAGAGTTGCGCTGAAGAAGTAGACATTCAGAGTTTCACTTTTGTTAGCTTGATTTCCCTAATTGTGCACATCTTAAGTCTAGGCCTGTGGTTAATACTGTTACTACTTAATATCTCCTGTAGCAGTGGATTAGAAACTATGCCACCGTGACCCTCTCCAGGCACGGAGAGTCTGGCCCAGGGAACAGCCAGTTTCATCCTGGGGGCTGCACTCCCAGTCCAACAAGGGCAGTTCTGCTCTTCCCCCTAAGAGTTTATTTCACCACCGAGGATATTATTCAGAGGAAAAAGAAAAGTTTCTAAATCACTGCTTCAATTACTTAAGAAAAACTCAATAAATAATTATCCCACCATGGTATGGTATAGGGAAAATAAGAGGTTGCAGCTCAGTAATACAAAAGAAAAAAAAGTATAAAATGCCATAAATAGGTACTGTGGTAATAATAAGCATCCTTTGCATATAAATGGTTGAAATAGAACAACTTTAATTATTTAGCAGATTTAAAGCAGCTACCTACTTATATATAATCTGGCGTGGCCTTTCAGCAGGGATTCACAGCTGCTCAGAAGCGCAGTGCTGGCTTGTTAAGCCTGTGCTTCTGTTTGGCAAGGAGATGAAGGCTCACTGGGAAGGCCTAGAGTAGATTCCTGGCCCAGAATTCTTACCCTATTCCACACCACATTCTGCAGATTAGATATTCATTTGCACTAAGAAACGTCCAAAGTTCCCATGGAGGTGGCTTAGTTACCAGTCATTTACACCTTAGTGGGTATTACTTTCATCAGGTAATCAGATTATTTTGCTGAGGGAAGAGGCATGTGGATTGAGGGCAAGGTAAGGTGAGAGGTTACGGGAACTCACAGCGGTAGGATGGAAGCACCCCTAGGTGGAGTGCCACAGCCAGAGAGGTCAGCATGTGGGCCCCGGGTTGCCTTCAAGACCCACCCAATCCTTTTAGGTATTGGTGTGACCTTGGCAGAATGTTGCCGACAGCCTGCCCCTTTGGTGAGCGGAGAAAGGACAAATAGCACAAAACATAAACGGCTGCTGGCCGTGGATGATAGGCAGTGAGAATAAAGCCAGCGAGCAGTAAGCGTGGTGGGAAAGGGTGCAAGCGACGAAGGCAGGCAGGCGTTGGGCAGTGCAGAGCCGATGTGGGATGCCTCAGCCGCTGGGCCAGGGCTGGGTGCCTAGAGACCCAGAGGATGAGGTCTGGGTGATGAGGACAGAGGAAAGGGAGGAAAAGGAGTACAAATAAAAGTGTCGGTTGAGAGGGGTATAAAACCACAGCCTGGGCTGTGCCGTAGAGGCACGAATGGGAGTGGGCAAGGAGCTAGACGGGGGTAAAATCCAACAGGAAGAAGCCAAAGCAAATCATAACCAAAAAGAGTTCTTAACACGTAAAGGAAGATGATGGGCCTTTGCCTCCTTCTGCTTTTATCTCATTTTGCAAACTGTCTGAAGGTACAATATACATAAGTAAGGTCTGTACCAAAATTGAAGTGTATACTTTGGATAGTGTTGGGACACAAGGGTGAAAGCCAGGAAGTAGAAACATTGCCATAAACTTAGGAATCACCAGTGTGGTTAATGATGGTGGTCGACCAGGACTGTATGTGAAGAAGCATCACACATGTACATCTCGTTATTCAATATCTTAGAAGCAAAAGTCATTGGTGGTTAGTGAGGAAAATTAAACTTGCATGGACAAAATTTTCAATGAGTTGAACATTGACTGGTGGGAAAGTGTTTGTGTGTGTTTGTATTTCTGTTTGTCTTCTTAGAAAAAATAATAGCAATAATAGCTCAGCATCCAAGCTTACTACAGGTGTGAAGATCCAGGTACAAATCTCAGATCACTAGGTGTGGAGTACTAGTGTCTGTGTACACACACACACAGACAAATCTCAGATCGCTAGATGTGGAGTACTAGTGTCTGTACACACACAGAGATGGCTTTTACAGAACCTCATTGAATATTTTAAGTCATGTTTTGCTTCTGTTCTACCAGGAGGTAATTAGTCGTTTAGTTTATGAAAAGGATATTGATATTATATTAAATGGACAAGGCTTTCAAAGGAAGAGCTATAAAAGGTCCAGAAATGATGCACATGTAACAGAACAACGTAGAAAATATCAACATTTCTCATGTAGTCATAGAAAAAAGATCAGTTCAAATGGGCCAATTTTTTGCTAGAAATACATAGTACAGAAATAGAAACTTTAAGTATTAGAAATAGTATTACTGAGCTCAATTCATCTCTAAAACTTATTCCACTAACTCAGAATCAGACACTGAGAATAAAGGGTTTAAAGTAAAAGAAAATATATCCAATTCACACTTCAGGAAAATGAAAATACTACAGACCAAGAGAACATTCTCACTGAGCTTTTTTTCAATGCTCTCGTTTTAACCAGCTGGAATTATTTTTAAAGTACATCCAATTCAACCTTTTAAAATGACAGATTTGCCTTTTAATGGGAAGTATGTATTTCATCATAAAGATGGAGCACAGTGTCCTTGGCTAAGTTATTCTCTACAGAAGGTTGCTCTTTTTTGTACTTATGCTTTGCCTATAAGGAAGAACACATATTATAGCAAATTTGCTCCCTGGCATGGAAGATTAGAAGGATACAGACAGACTGATAAAGAGCAATTAAAAATGCACACTGTTCACTCCAGTCTCCTGACTTCCTTGTGGTAATGTTCATGGTCATGTAATGAGCAGTCCTTACAAACTGAACCAGCAGAGGGGAGGAATAACCTTAGAAACTAGAGTTCCTTTTCGTATTCGAAGAAGAGACCACCACAACTTTAAACAACCAAACAGTACCTTAGAAAAGGCATCTCCCAAGCTCCCTAATTTGGAGACATTACTGCACTCTTACTGCAGAATGTTGTAAATCTATACTCGTTACAACATTTTTTATTTTTCTGGAGTAAAAAAGCATCTCCAATTTCTGAGGAAAAACAAACAGTTCGCTGATAACAGTAGAGCGGAATGAAGCTATCTCAGTGTTTATGTTAGTAAAACGGACACATTTTCAGTTACGATTGACATTCCTGAGACACGGCATGACTGATGCTGTTTGACAGAACCGGATCTGTGAGAGGAGGGTAAATATTCCAGGGCTGTGTACAACGGAGAGGGCTGAGGTCAACCAGAGATGCTTATCCAAAGTAGGACAAAGGGGCAGGGAGGCAGCAGCGGTCAACTCCAGCAGTGGGAGGGTCTAAAATCACCCCAAGGGAGGGCTTGGAGGTCTGGAGGAGAGAGCAGTGCTCAGAAAGCCTCCCTTATGTTAGAAACAAATAGATAAGCTGTCTCATCATAGGGCCCTTTTATAAGGGCTTATTTCAGAATCCACTGCCTCTGTATAGCCAAACATGGAATTAGGTCTTTCAACATGAGGCGTACACTGTCTTATTAATTTAAGTACTAAAATTTTGTGCAAGTGCTCAAGGGTCTCTTAGGAAATCGAATAATAACTATGCATTTAAAGATATTTTGGTGGAAATGCCAGCCCGGAATGCTCTAGCTGCACATTCTCTAAAGCTCTTGTACAATCGTAGAAGACAAATTGTATCACTACCTACAAATGTAAACAGAAACACTTGGTCTGTGCGAAAGTCCTTCATTTATTCATGCATCAAACCAATCAATTGTCTCTGCTTGTGTCCGTGCTAAAGGCGGCCGGTTAAAAGTGGAATCAGACCCAGAGCCTGTTCCAGCTAAAGGATCCAGTGGAATTTGAAAGCATGGCACATCTATAGCTCTATTGGATAGCAACTCGCGTACCTGAGGGAACTCACACTTTTTTAAACGGGCCTGGGAGCTCCTGGTGAATTTTGAATGCACGACTAAGGTGTGTGTACTGTACTTAAAAAAAAAAAAATCGAAGTGCCCAAGGCTGCCTTCTTACCTGTGGCCCTGGACCTTGCCCAGGAGTGGGGCGCGGAGGCTGACCATGCTTGAGAGAGAATGGTGATGGACTCAGCCAGACCCACGGCCAGACAGGCAGACAGGAAGCGCAGGTGCAGGTGCAGGGAGCCGGGCGCCATGGGCCTGGGCGATGAGGTCAGAGATCAAGAGGGTGGGCGGGGGCCTGCACGGCCCTCCTAAGCCATGGGAGACCGCGGCATCATTATCCAAGTGGACTCAAGTATAACGTGTGGTCCCTTTCCCTCTTCTCACTTAACTGTCCGCTCACACACCAGCTTCAAGGCGACAGGTAGGTTTCCCTAAGCATGGCTCACGCTTAGCATATCGGAGAGAAAGAGACAGTGTTTGCCTTGTCCAGCCCGCTCCCAACCTTGCAAAATGGTAGGAGGAAAGACATTGGAAGGAAATTGCCCGAAGAAAAGAGGGCAAAGAATGCCTTCTGCTTTCTGGAGCCCCAAGAGCTGCCTTAAGGTCTTCAACAAATGACAAAGGCAGTCGGGAGACTCGAGCTCCTGTTTCAGGGGCCAAGAGTTGAAGCCACAGACTTGGCTCAGAGCAGACGTTGCCCCTCAGAGCCCACACTCTCCAGCTTTGCTCTGCTTCTCTCCTCTCTTTCTGAACCAGCCCCTCCCGGGCCTGAGAGCTGGGGCTTCCATGGCTGCACTGGAGGAATTTGCTACCTTTCTTGTTCCGGTGGAGCATCTTTGGCAAGTGGTTTCCCGTCGTGGGCACAGCAGCACAGCCCCTCTAGCAGGACATCTGCTCAGTTGCACGGTTGCTCAGGCATATGGCCTTCGGCCTCCCTCCTGAATACGGTGGAAGCCCAGAAGACCTCCTGAAGTCATGAGAAGTTTTAGAGCTGGGGAATGACGAAAAGCAGAGCCATGTTTCAAGAAAATGAATTCCATCCAAGGTGCAGAATGGATTCAAGGAGGTGGTCCAGAAGCTGTTGCTTTCAAGGTTAAACACTAACGAAGCACCAGAGTGCTGATGGTGATGGGTAGAGGGCAGAGATATTGAAGGAGGAAAATCAACCGGACTCAGTAATTAGTTGGCCATGAGGGAAAATAGAAAGAAAAAGAGTCAAAGATGAGGTTTTGAGCAGCATTATGATTAAAAAAAAATAAGGAATACAGAGACAGCTGGATAGAGTATGAGAGCGACAACAGGTTCAGTCTGATGCAGATTTCAAATGGTGTTATCCTCATGCTGACTGTCAGGGTGTTATCTTTAGGCCCATATAAGAGTTCAGATGGGGCTTCCCTGGTGGCGCAGTGGTTGAGAATCTGCCTGCTAATGCAAGGGGACACGGGTTCGAGCCCTGGTCTGGGAGGATCCCACATGCCGCGGAGCAACTAGGCCTGTGAACCACAACTACTGAGCCTGCGGGTCTGGAGCCTGTGCTCCGCAACAAGAGAGGCCGCGATAGTGAGAGGCCCGCGCACCGCGATGAAGAGTGACCCCCGCTTGCCACAACTAGAGAAAGCCCTCGCACAGGAACGAAGACCCAAAACAGCAAAAATAAATAAATTAATTAATTAAAAAAGAAAAAAGAATTCAGATGTTTCCAGAATGCATGAGTGTTATTTTAAGTGTGTATGGTACAATAAGTTGAAAACATGTCAAAACCTTTAGTCCAAACTAATTCATAACAGGTTTTTTCTTCTTTCTTTTTGTTTTTTGGGAAAGAGTGAATAATTCATAATAAGTTTATCTTGAAAATACACTTGAAATAAGTAAGTGATCACGTTTGAGCTTCCTCGCAGGATTCTGTTAGATGCTCTGTACACAGCTCCGTTTTCAGTTCACCATTTTGTTTCAAGCCAGGTTATCTTTAATTTATTTGTTTAGTTATTCATTTTTGGCTGTGTTGGGTCTTCGTTTCTGTGCGAGGGCTTTCTCCAGTTGCGGCAAGCGGGGGCCACTCTTCATGGCGGTGCGCGGGCCTCTCACTGTCGCGGCCTCTCTTGTTGCGGAGCGCAGGGTCCGGACGCGCAGGCTCAGTAGTTGTGGCTCGCGGGCCCAGCCGCTCCGCGGCACGCGGGATCCTCCCGGACCGGGGCACGAACCCGTGTCCCCTGCATCGGCAGGCGGACTCTCAACCACTGCGCCACCAGGGAAGCCCCAGCCAGGTCATCTTAATCACTGTGTCACACACTCTGTTCTGCTCAGTGTCTCCACATAATCAGCACACTACAGTCCTTCCATTCACGCATTGACTCTCCTGCCAATTATTTTAATGAGACACAGGAAATGGCTCTGGCAGATTCCTGAAAACCTTCTCCTACAAGGCTAACGCACAAGTCCAGTGTTAAATTCAGTTTCATGGAAAATAATAATTAAATGCAAATGGAAAGGATTAAAAAAATCAAAAGAAGCACGCGTCTGTTCAATTAAAATTACAGCTTTTCTCTTCCTTGATGCACATAGAGACGTTTGCATTGAACGATCTGCTGAGAGATTTGTCTAAAAGGTAAATTCACATAAGCTGTTCAGGAACACTGAGTCTGTGTCATTCCCATTTCCCCAGGAAGCTTTGAGACTTTTCCGTTTCAGCTGTGGGTCCGCTGATTGTTCGTCCCGTAAGATTCACATTCATTCTTATTCATTCTCTCCCTTTTTTCTTAATTGGGATGTAGTTGTTTTACAATGTTGTGTTCGTTTCTACTGTACAGTGAAGTGGAATTCCCTGTGTTATACGGCAGATTCTCATTAGTTATTTATTTTGTACATACTAGTGTATATATGTCCATCCCAATCTCCCAATTCATCCCCCCTCCCCCCCTCATATGTTTGTTCTCTGTATCTCTATTTCTGCCTTGCAAACAGGTTCATCTGTACCATTTTTCTAAATTCCACATATATGCGTTCATATGCGATATCTGTTTTTCTCTTTCTGACTTACTTCATTCTGTATGACAGTCTCTAGGTCCATCCACATCTCTGCAAATGACCCAATTGCGTTCCTTTTTATGTCTGAGTAATATTCCATTGTATATATGTACCACATCTTCTCTATGCATTCGTCTGTCGATGGGCATTTAGTTTCCTTCCATGTCCTGGCTATTGTATATAGTGCTGCAGTGAACATTGTGGTGCATGACTCTTTCTGAATGATGGTTTTCTCAGGGTATATGCCCAGTAGTGGGATTGCTGGGTCGTATGGTAGTTCTATTTTTAGTTTTTTAAGGAACCTCCATACTGTTCTCCATAGTGGCCGTATCAAATTACATTCCCACCAACAATGCAGGAGGGTTCCCTTTTCTCCACACCCTCTCCAGCATTTATTGTTTGTAGATTTTTTGATGATGGCCATGCTGACTGGTGTGAGATGATACCTCATTGTAGTTTTTATTTGCATTTCTCTGATAATTAGTGATGTTGAGCATTTTTACCCCATTGTAGTTTTGATTTGCATTTCTCTAATAATTAGTGATGTTGAGCATCTTTTCATGTGTTTCCTGGCCATCTGTATGTCTTCTTTGGAGAAATGTCTGTTTAGGTCTCCTGCCCATTTTTTGATTGGGTTGTTTGTTTTTTTAATATTGAGCTGCGTGAGCTGCTTGTATATTTTGGAGATTAATCCTTTGTCGTTGATTCATTTGCAAACATTTTCTCCCATTCTGAGGGTTGTCTTTTTGTCTTGTTTACAGTTTCCTTTGCTGTGCAAAAGCTTTTACGTTTCGTTTTCTGAATTAAAAATCATCCCGTCTACAGTAAAATACAGTTTGCAAATAATTCTCTCACACTCACTGGATGGTGTAATTCCCACTTAAGCTGCGACTCCGAAAGCACAATTTGGCCTTAAGAATACAGTTAATTCTCCCATCCCTTTTCTGCTCACACCCTCTTTCCAACAGTGTACATTTCACAACTCTCCTTCTCTTTGTGAATATTGCTCTCCTAACTGAAACGGTTCACGTAAAGCCAAAAAGTTCTTTGCATTTAATTACTAAATAATCGAATCCGCTAACCTCAGCTGTTTGCATCATTGCTTATAGAAGTTGGGGCCTCTGGATGGCTCACGTGCCCCTCTCCCCCCTCGGGCCCACCTTCCACCTCTCACACCTGACTGCCGCCCCCCATTCTCGGTGCAGCTGGTCCCAGACCCCGGCACCCTGCTCTTGATTCTCTGTGACTATATTTCCTTTGGGCCCCCCAGCTACAGTGGAGTATTTCTATGACTGATTTACACCCAGCCTTTCTATTCCTGGGTGCTCCCCTGGGCAGCCCCCAAATCACCAGGCAGCATCTGGCAGCCGGACTCATCCTAAAGCTTCACTTCCGTTCATTGTGCCCTTGGCACCGTGCTTTCCTGTCGACAACTCCAGGAACCTTTTATTTATTTGCATATTCTTCTCACATTTGACTGCTGTCCTCCCCCTGTGTAAAGTTTATCCCGGAAGCTCGGGGGAGTCTGTGTGGATGCTTTCGACTCACAGAAGGTTCCGAAGGCCCCATCTTACTCTCGCACACACATAAAGTGCGTTAGGCAGAATATTAGAAAATTAAGCAAACTGACAATTAATTTTAAGTCATGCTTCTCAAATTTGAAATGTGGCCTCTCGTCAACTATTGGGCACTTTATCCTTCTCCGAGGCTGACCGAAAGACATAAAAGCAGCTTACTAATTTATTTATTTTTATTTACTTATTTTTACTTATTTTTGGCTGCGTCGGGTCTTAGTTGCGGCACGTGGGATCTCGTAGCGGCGCGTGGGCTTCTCTCTAGTTGTGGCACATGGGCTCAGTAGCTGCGGTGCTCAGTCTTAGTTGCCCCGTTGCATGTGGGATCTTAGTTCCCCCACCAGGGATCCAGCCCGCGTCCCCTACATTGGCAGGTGGATTTTTAACCACTGGACCACCAGGGAAGTCCTGCAACTTACTACTTTAGACAATTCACTGAAAGAAGGAATACTTATAATGGAAAAAAAAAAAAAAAAAAAGAGCTAAACTAATATGGGATCTAATAAAAATGGTTGGTTGGACTTTTGACATGTAAAATTGTCCACATTCCCGTTTAAAAATGTGTCTTCAGAGAATAGAGCACAGTGTAACTATAAGGTAAAGTGGTGGGGTAATTACCCCCCCTCCTCAGAACAGGCTTCCTGGGCCCCTGT